CATACAGAAAAAATTTTTTTTAATTTCAGTACATATTAATGTAGTCATGGGTTTTTTGAAAAGCCTTACAGAAAAAAAAAGAGTAAAGGAATGAGTAAAATTCAGTTTGCAAAGTCACATAATTAACCAACAAAAAGTGTAGAGAGAGTCTGATACTTTGAAATAGACCTTTTAAAAAATTCAAACTAGTGTAGAAAAGTAATTAAAATAAAATAAAAAAAAAAAGATGGCATCCTTGATGCATCATGCAAGTTCATACAAGAATATAGCCAATTAAGTTTTGGTAGAAGGGTGATCCTAATGTTGTTGAATTCAGAGATTACATAGAAAGACCATTGATTTGCATTAAAGAAGAAGCCAATGAGAAATATAACCATTTATTACCAAAAGAGGGGTAAGAATTAAGCAAGCCTGGATTATCCTGAAAGACCTTAATCCAGAGAAGATTATAGTCAAGTTTATAGATAATAAGAGAAAACAGTTGTCAGAAAAAAAATGTTGTGTAAAGACATCATGAATTTTAGTCACAAAACCATTGGAGAAGATTACAAGGATTAATGGAAAGTCCAAAAACTTTGGACACATTAAGGCTTATTAGAAAATGAGTAACTTCAGCATCCAGTATTTGTTTATTACAAAATTATGTATTCTAATAAAAAAAAAAAAAAGTTTTCACTTTCATTTGTTGTGCAAGCCTTAGATATATTTAAATTGTCCATTATGGTTAAGTTACATGTGATACACACTTTGATAATCAACCAGAAAATGATGTCTTCTACATGTTTACCTCAAAAGAAGTTTTGAACATCAGGGTATTTGTTTCAAAGAGCTGAAAAAACAGGTTCATACAGACAGAAAATGTAAGATTTTGGCATCCGAAGCAACCTAGTATGCATTTAATGTATCATATAACACTAGATTATTAAAACATAGAACAAAAACTCATAGAAATGATATTGAAAAACTTTACCTTTTATGAATAAAGTTCAACATCATGTACTCCAATGGTATATTTTTTATTAAACATGAGAACCAAAAATTTACAACAGTCCATGATTCATAAGAAGATCTTGGGTTAGTAGAAACACCAACAAGAGGCCCAGGGGCCAATTCCACACAATCAGATTATCTTACATATCAGTTGTATAAGTGTTACAGTCTTTATACATAGTTAAGAGGGTCATATAAATTTCTTTTCTGGTCATTGATGTGCCACATTATATATTTCTATTCTTTCCCTTTGATATAATGTTAATATTAAATGAGAAATTCAGAATTCATCACATTACTTTCATCAATTGGAGTCAAAACTTGCTATCTTTACCAATATATGTAATATTAAGGAAGCTAGGGGGGGGGGGGGTTGAACAAACAAATTAGTCATATTTTCAACTTATTCTATAGATATGCTATTTCCTATATATTCAGCTGTTAACTAACATTTGGCAAAGAAAACTTTCATACATTTTAGTTTCAAAATTTGATCATGCATTTTTGTATATATATTGAAATGGAGCTCTTCTTCTTTTAAAGGAGATCAATATAGTCTAAAAAATGACCATGACCACCAAGCCCTTTTTATTTAAATATATCATTTACATATCAATTAATTCAAAATTATAAACATGCATATGTAAAAAAAAAACACTAATAAAATAATAAATAAATATATATAACAATTGTATCTCATTGAAACTTTACCTTCAAGTTTGTGTGTTTCTATGTTGGTTGACTAACTGTGTATTTCCAAAGGAAGAGCAGACAGTTTGAACTTCATAGAGAATGGATTATAGATGGTTAGGAACAATACATATCTTCCAGGTTGAGGACTGTATAGAAAATAAAACCATTTTGTTAATATGACAGAGTACAAATGTGTGAACAAACATGTTTCCTGGCCCATGCATGTTTAAAAAGTTGAACAAAATTTTGTTACAATCTCAAAAAAAGTTCATGAAAATGTTTGTTTTTAATCTCAAAATAAATTGTTTTTAACATTAACTCCAGATGAGAAAAGTTCATCATGTTATCTTTAGATAATAAAAAAAAGCACAATTACTGTATTGATATCACAAATAAAATGATTATCAAATTAATTATTTAGACACTAAAAGATTTTTTATTAACAGCAGATTCAATTTTGTTTAATATCTGTCAGTACTGCATACAGAAAAATACACCTTTTTTTTAGCATCATCACAGTACAACATGTAGTCCTTAATTTTTTGAAAAGCTCATTACTAAGAAACAAAAGTGAAAATGAAAATATATGTATGCCATATATCCCACATATTTAGAATCAAAACAAAAAGTAAATAACTTAGGATTAATCTTTTGTAAATTCCTCCTTTTCTCTAATTAGATTCCTAATTAATATCTCTTTGATCACCATTTAGTAAGTCTGAATTCCATGGCCATGGGTAACATACATAATGAATTATGAAATTATATCATCATTTATACAAAAGGACTTATTAATATTCTGAAGATCCCTTAATCATGTGTTAATATATTTTAGGTTAAATAAGGGTGTGCTTATATGAATGTAAGTTAGAGACAACAGATCACATAAGTATTACACAGTAATTAAATTAACCATATAATCATGCTTAAATGCAAAGATGACCTTCATAGGAAATGTAAACAATTAAAAAACAAGACAAACTTACCAGAGATATCCAAATATATGCCCAATAAGTCTATCAATTAAATAATCCAGTGAAATAACATCTCAGCTGATCCTGAAAAAAAAAAAATCATAAAATTCAGTGATACACAATTAACCTCATTTTACAATGTAAGTAAAGCAATAATTTACAGATAAAGGGGACAGAAATGTAAAAGATACCATGTATTTTACCAAAATTTAGAGAACATTTTTCTGATTTAAATTCAATATCATAGAATGACCCATCATAGAAATATTAAATGCACTCTGAGTTACATGCAGGTTATACAACTGTAAATCACATGAAATGAGGATAAATACAGTATTGACATTCAAAATAGAACTTTACATAATTATGATTAAATGCAAAGATGACCTTCATAGGAAATGTAAACAAAACAAAGACAAACTTACCAGAATTATCCAATTATATGCCCAATAAGTCTATCCATTAAATAATCCAGTGAAACAACATCTTAGCTGATCCTGAAAAAAAAGCATACAATATTCAGTGATACTCAATTTAACCTCATTTTACAAAGGAAGTAAAGCAACAATTGACAGACAAACAGGACAGAAAAACATGTTTAAATGTAATGCAAAATAATATCTCTTATATATGGATACCTATACTCTAATCAATCATATTAAATGTCATTCGTAAAATGTATTTTTTAAGACAGATTTATTTAGGATCGACTTTAAATGATAACATGAATAGCACGCCATACTTTAACCACATGTCAAAACATTCTCTCAAATTACACAGAAATGGATTATTTAGCATAGCTGACATTAAACATATAGGTGAGCGATAACATAATCACAATCATAAACAATGTGAAACAACTTTAAACGACCTACACTGTGGATTACAAGCCTTTTTCACTGGGGTAAAATCCTGCCGAAATTCGCCATGGCCGCCCGAAACCCCGAACCCGACTGTATAAAAGATGAAGTCATACAATAACATAACACTGATGTAGTATTACATGATTTTTTTTAAATTTTATTTCTTAAAAACTATAAGGGGAGTTTACCAAAAAAAAAATTAATAAGAAAAAAAATTAAAGTTATTTTAAAAAAGTTAAAAAAAAAAATTTATAAGTTTTTTAAAAAAAAAGTTTAAAAAATTTAAAAAGAAATTCTAAGTTTTTTAAAAAAGTGACCTGGTGTTATAACTTGACAGACATACAGTGTAACACACACATGTTTTTTGTATTGTGTGTTATTTGTTATTGTCTTTCAGTAAAAAATTCAGTTCAAACCGGTTAGGCTGGCTAGACTAGGCTGTCTAGACTGTAAATGAAAAAGTGTGACGTCATAATCACATTGTATTTATACAGTGAATGACGTCACAATGCATAGGTAAGTTTATCGTACTTTTTGCACACGGCACTTTACAGATGATGCAAACAGGTATATAAGAAAACACAGGTAAAAGGTATATTTCTTTTGCACACGACCCCTAATGTTTTGCACACGGCACTTTATAGAGGATGCAAACAGGTATAAAAACGCAGGTAAAACGTATTGATTCTTGTTATAATCTGTCTTGTGTGTGTGTTATTTGTTATTGTTTTCAGTAAAAAAAAATCCAGTTTGAACTGGTTTAGGCTAGGCTGAGCTTTAGACTGTGAATGAATGCGTGACGTCATAATCACATTCTTGAAATGTTTTGCACACGGCCCCAAAGTATTTTACCTGTATAGTTAGCATAAACAAAACGTAGTACCAACGTATAGTGTATAATGTAAACACAGTGTAAACACGCCCCGTATTTAGGGCATAGGATAGGTTAGGGTTCAAAGGGGTTAGGGTTAGAGGGGGCTAAGGGGGATAGGGTTAGTTAGGGCTAGGGGGTTAGGGTTAGGGTTAGTTAGGGCTGGGGGGGGTAGGGTTAGTTAGGGCTAGGGCGTTAGGGTTAGTTAGGGTTAGGGGTAATTAGGGCTAGGGGGGTTAGGGTTAGTTAGGGTTAGGACTGCACTCAGTTGACCCCCCTATCCCTACCCCAGGGGGACTGTACTGAGTCCCTGACCCCCCTATCCCCCCAGACCCCCCCAAACCTGCACTCCCTTGACCCACCTATATCCCCTCAACCAATCAGAACTGATCACGTGATTTCTCTCAGCCAATCAGAATTTCGCTATACTTTTTGACCTGCAGGTTGTGTGAATTTCGTTATTTCAAATTGTTAGATGTACTATACTTTTTGTTTAAAGGGATTACATTAAAATTACATATTTTTTTCTCTTTTAACTGTTATGTACATATAAAATTACATTCAAATACATCTAATTTATTTTTATAAATAACAAATAAATAATTTTTATCATTCCTTTTAAAAACAAAGCATGTCAAAATGTCAACATGCTCATTTTTTCCCAAATCCTTTTCTTTCCCTTGTACTTTCACTTTATGCATCTTTTGGTGTACTTTCATTTTTTTTCACTCTAAGCTTCAATAGTGCTTAGACCTACTTCTTTTCACAGTGTCAATCACAACAGTTTCTTTTCTTTACCAGTCAAGTCAATGAATCAACGAGCCTTTGTCTGTGTCTCTTTGTTGATCCAAAAACTTTTGGGTTCTGTCACTGGAATCGGAGGCTGGGAGGGTGAAATCCTGATGAATTCATTTCAAGATGATGTTCATTGTCAGTTTTTGTCCTTGTTGAATGCCTTCACTTCATCCTGAGTCAGGAGAGGGCAGGCAAACATTATTTCAAAGATGGCCTTACTGACTGTTTTCCTTTTTTTCTCTCTCAACTCACTTCACTGTCTGTGACTGACCAGGCCCCGGACAGCATTAAGTACATGTGAACTGGCCCCCTCTGTCTTCTGGAGATGTTTTTTCTGATGATAAGTTAGCTCCCCTTTAGTACTAAATCCATGGCCACAGACGGGGCATATAAACAGGGTAGCTAACTCATGTTCCCTCAAGTGGCTCTCATATTTAACTAAATTTCTGTGAAGAAAGATAATACTATTACTGGTCAAAATGAAATGCGCACTAGCTAAAACTTTTTATATATTTTTTTTCTAATTTTAAAAACTCTGTGACATATAAGGCAATTAATGGTTCCTTTGTCATCCTTACTTTTTACAAGCTAATTCAGAGAATTTGTGTCCCCCGCTTAAGGAAAAAGTAAATCAAAGGCCTGAAGGGCCTGCGAGTTGACTCGCTCGAGTTAATTGAGCTTTTTCATACATCTGGACACCATACCTTACATTCAGTTTATTTCGCATCTTAAGAGATTGAATATTATATGTCTCCATGTTCGGTTAAAAAATAAAGTGTATTACTATATATTGCTTTTCCTTTGTATGTACAGGTTGGCACTAATGGGCTTCCGTACATATTATTGTGATAAGCAGCACTGCAAACCTTGGATTCCATAATGTATTATTTAAGCACACTAGCTGCAGTGGTCAGTGTTATGGAGTAATTAGTTAAAAGATTCCCACAGCAAATCTGGATTCAAAAATTAGATTTTTCAAGCACATTAGCTGCAATTAATGAGAGCAGCAGGTGTTTGTGTTAGGGGGTATTCTAGGTCAATTATAAATAAACTTCAGATGAGAAGATTAGATCCGCCTAACATGCTTGAATATATATTCATACGCAGTAATTGTACATCTTACAGATATTTTAACAAAAATTTCTGTAAAAGCATGAAGACATAAATAATGTAACAGTCTGATATTTTATGCAGTTTTTACCTCCTAAGTTTATACAATCACTCAAACAAGAGCATTTTTTGCTTGAACTATCATATTTGGCGTATGGATCACGTTGGTGAATGCGTGAAAAATTTTACAGCTCTGAAACCACTATGTCAACAGGTAGTAGCTCGCTACGCGAGCCAACTCAAACATGCGCAGTTCGGGGGGAAGGGGGGGGGGAGAGTCGGATCCCCCTCACTGGATTTGTAGAATTATTAAATGTATACATGCATGTATACTGAAGCAAATAAAATATATAATTATGGATATAAAGATTTAATTGCTTATTCTTTATTATGTCTATAGAAGATTCTTTTTACATGGAATATTTATCAAACTGTAATGATGATTTTATGAGTTTGTACAAGCCAGACCTCGTAAATTTTTCATTTTGCATGCTGAATACTATAATTTAGTTTAAAAAAAAGTATTTCTAAAAAAAGTGGTCCGTCCGGGACTTGAATTCGGGACCTCTCACATGGGAAGCGAGAAACATACCACTATACCATGGAATCGCTTTACAAGAAGTCAAGTATAAGCAGAAGTGAAGTCACATACATGTATATATCAATGTTCGGTATTGTCAAAATTTTACACAATCTATGGTGTTTGATTTATTTAGCCTTTATTAAACAGTTCTAATAAATGTAATAAGAACATAAAGTCCGCCGAAAACCTCTTTTATACGCAATAACTCATGCCCCTGTGCTAAAAATAGTAACATGTAATACCGTATAAGTAGAATTTTTAGCGAGAATTTAATTTTGGCATTATTCGCGAGGGTCCTGAGATTGCTAAAATTAAATATCGCTAAAAATTAAATGCATTTTATTTGTAATAGCTTCTTTAGTAAGCATTTTAAAATAGCTAAAATTACCTCTCGCTAAAAATAAATTACCATTTTTTAAGGAGAAATCGCTAAATTTGCGTCTTGCTAAAATTTCCACTTATACGGTACTATAAATACTAATAAAACAAACGGGGCGGGGCACTTTGAGTGGGGTGACAGAGGTCCTAGGGAGTTTTGGTATGAAATTACATTGCAAAAGCTTAAAATCTTCTTGAAATATCGCCTGGAAATGATAGTATTACAAACAGATAGAATTTATAAATTTACGACCTTGAACTTTGACTTTTTGACCTCAAAATCAATAGGGGTCTTCATTAGGCCACAGGAAGTTGTTATTCTAAAATTTCATTGCAATAGCTCAAATGGTTCTAGAGATATCGTGTGGAAACGAAAGAGTTATAACAGACAGAATTTGCTTATTTATGACCTTGACCTTTGACCTTTTGACCTCAAAATCAACAGGGTTCTTCTTTATTCCATAGGGAGTTGCTATGCAAAATTTCATTGCAAAAGCTTAAAGGTTTCTTGAGATATCGTGTGGAAACGAAAGCGTTACAGACAGATACAAAGACGGACGGACAAACCCAAATTAATATCCCCCACTTTTTAAGCGGAGGACAAAAAACTCTGTGACATATTGGGCATTTAATGGTTCGTTTGTCTACCTTACTTTTTAAAAACTCTGTGACATATAAGGCAGTTAATGGTTTGTTTGTTGATCTTACTTTTCAAAAACTCTGTCACATATAGGGCAGTTAATGGTTTCTTTGTCCCTGTTATGAATGGTAAGATGAAGGGCCCTGCTTGCTGCTGAGGAGAATTGTTTGCCACACTGCTCGCAGGGAAACTTATCTGTCAATCAAACGAAAGCTCGTTATCTATTTGCCCTTTTACCCAAGCAAACATTTTTGCCCTGCTTTAATTCCAACCACACACAGTTTTGTTAAAAGGATTATACAGTGTTTGAAAATTGCCCCTGGCCATTTTAAATTAGGCCTCTAGCAATGAGGGCAAAAGGGGTGAAGATTTTCATGAAGACACAGAACAAAATTTGATAATACCTGTTGGGTGTTTACTGGTTTGTTTTTCTTTGTTGTGACTCTTGAGATGGATAGTCCTTCCTGCCTGGCTGGAGAATTCTCTACCACAATGTTTACATGGGTACTTATCTGTCAATCAGAAAAAAAACTTGTTATTCATTGGCTGAGTTTTTGCAGAGAAACACCCTTTCTGTCAATGAGAAAAAAAAATATCACAAATATTAGGAATTCAGGAATATTGCCAAGTTATCTTGCATCCCCTGCTTATTTATCCAATTCCTTATACTGATATAACAAATAATGATTATAGTGAAGTAATTTCATAAGTCCCAGTCACTTTATTATAACCAAGTTTTACTGTACTTTATTCTTCAAACAAAATCGGTGTGATCCTCCATGTGTTTGTCTAGCGAGTGACTATATTTACCTGTGTGATTCTCCATGTGTTTGTCTAGTGACTATATTTACCTGTGTGATTCTCCATGTGTTTGTCTTGTGACTATATTTACCCGTGTGATTCTCCAGGTGTTTGTCTAGTGACTATATTTACCAGTGTGATTCTTCATGTGTCTAGCTGGTGACTATATTTACCGGTGTGATTCTCCATGTGTTTGTCTAGTGACTATATTTACCAGTGTGATTCTCCATGTGTTTGTCTAGTGACTATATTTACAGAGTGTTTCTCCATGTGTTTGTCTAGTGACTATATTTACCTGTGTGATTCTCCAGGTGTTTGTCTTGTGACTATATTTACCTGTGTGATTCTCCAGATGTCTAGTGACTATATTTACCAGTGTGATCCTTCATGTGTTTGTCTAGTGACTATATTTACCTGTGTGACTCTCCAAGTGTTTGTCTAGCGGGTGACTATATTTACCTGTGTGATTCTCCATGTGTTTGTCTAGTGACTATATTTACCTGTGTGATTCTCCATGTGTTTGTCTAGTGACTATATTTACCTGTGTGATTCTCCATGTGTTTGTCTAGTGACTTTATTTACCTGTGTGACTCTCCAAGTGTTTGTCTAGCGGGTGACTATATTTACCTGTGTGATTCTCCATGTGTTTGTCTAGTGACTATATTTACCTGTGTGATTCTCCATGTGTTTGTCTAGTGACCATATTTACTGGTGTGATTTTCCATGTGTTTGTCTAGTGACTATATTTACCTGTACGACTCTCCAAGTGTTTATCTAGTGACTATATTTACCTGTGTGATTCTCCATGTGTTTGTCTAGCTAGTGACTATATTTACCTGTGTGACTCTCCAAGTGTTTTTCTAGCGGGTGACTATATTTACCTGTGTGATTCTCCATGTGTTTGTCTAGTGACTATATTTACCTGTGTGATTCTCCATGTGTTTGTCTAGTGACTATATTTACCTGTGTGATTCTCCATGTGTTTGTCTAGTGACTATATTTACCTGTGTGATTCTCCAAGTGTTTTTCTAGCGGGTGACTATATTTACCTGTGTGATTCTCCATGTGTTTGTCTAGTGACTATATTTACCTGTGTGATTCTCCATGTGTTTGTCTAGTGACTATATTTACCTGTGTGATTCTCCATGTGTTTGTCTAGCTGGTTTTTGCGGTAGAATCCTTTCCCACACTTGATACAGTAAGTCAGCCCCTTCTGAAAGTGCATCCTCATGTGAGTCTGGAAGTTCTTTTCGTGGAGGAATTGTTCATCACATTTAAAACATCTGGAATTAAAATATCTCAACCTTAAGTTTAAGTGTTTTATTTTATACATTTTATTTAAACATGTTAAAAGTAAGGCCATTCTCAAAATATTCTGTGTTTGCTTTCCCATGACTCAAAGTAAAAAAAAAAAATGAGATCAGTAAGTAGGTGCTGTGGGAAAGTTGTTGACAATGCAAGATTCAAAGGGAAAAAAATAGATAAATATATCATTCCTGGAGGTTAAAATTTTTGAGACTGACATTTTTAGCCAAGAGAGGGCAAACAAACAATTTTTTAAAGATGGCCTAAATCAAGAGTTAACCCCATCCAATTGTTCGATGTCACATTCTCTTGTTGAAGCAGCATGAGTTTAACTGATAAAATCTTCTCCTTACCTTCTATTAATTTATATTAGAATGTACTTACTGAATCTTTCTCTTTGTGGTGTCTGAGGGCTCCTCTTTGTGGGTCCTGAGATGAACTTTAAGGTAGCTTGCTGCTGTACAGATCCTCCCACATATAAAACACTGATACTGCTTCTTCTCCAGGTTGTGCGCTCGCTCGTGTACCTGTCAGGAGTAAAATAACAGATAAAACACTGAAACTGCTTCTTCTCCAGGTTGTGCACTCGATCATGTACCTGTCAGAAGTAAAATAACAGATAAAACAATGATACTGTTTCTTCTCTAGGTTGTGTGTTCGCTCATGTACCTGTCAGGAGTAAATTAACAGATAAAACACTGATACTGCTTCTTCTACAGGTTGTGTGCTCGCTCGTGTACCTGTCAGAAGTAAAATAACAGATAAAACACTGATACTGCTTCTTCTCCAGGTTGTGGGCTCGCTCATGTACCTGTCAGGGGTAAAATAACAGATAAAACACTGATACTGTTTCTTCTCTAGGTTGTGTGCTCGCTCGTGTACCTGTCAGAAGTAACATAACAGATAACACTCTGATACTGCTTCTTCTCCAGGTTGTGCGCTCGCTCGTGTACCTGTCAGGAGTAAAATAACAGATAAAACACTGAAACTGCTTCTTCTCCAGGTTGTGCGCTCGCTCGTGTACCTGTCAGGAGTAAAATAACAGATAAAACACTGAAACTGCTTCTTCTCCAGGTTGTGCACTCGATCATGTACCTGTCAGAAGTAAAATAACAGATAAAACAATGATACTGTTTCTTCTCTAGGTTGTGTGCTTGCTCGTGTACCTGTCAGAAGTAAAATAACAGATAAAACAATGATACTGTTTCTTCTCTAGGTTGTGTGCTCGCTCGTGTACCTGTCAGAAGTAAAATAACAGATAAAACACTGATACTGCTTCTTCTCCAGGTTGTGCGCTCGCTCATGTACCTGTCAGGGGTAAAATAAAGGATAAAACACTGATACTGTTTCTTCACAAGGTTGTGCTCTTGCTCATGTACCTGTCAACAGTAAAATAACAGATAAAACACTGAAACTGCTTCTTCTCCAGGTTGTGTGCTCACTTGTGTACCTGTCAGGGGTAAAATTAAAGATTTCAGTTCATGTTCCAGTGTATCTTATAGCTAGCAACACACTTAGGGAGCTTTTGGGTTGTTTAGGGACATCATGTTCACTGTGTTTTCTTTATTCTCAAAGGATTATCAATCATACAAAGAGATATTTTGAACCACTTCAGGCTAATCTAACCATGAATTGAAAAATATTGAGTGTGGAAATATTATTGAAACTGAATGAGAGTCATTGTTCCCACAGTGGGAATTACCTTTATTACCTTGGGGTCAGAGAACCTTAAGGGAATATTTCACTCACCATTAATGTTCCAGCATGTTTGAATTTCTTTCCACAGGTTTTACAGTTGTAGAGCCAAAACTGTCCTGTATCTGAACCAGTCCTTTTCTCTGTTGGTAAGGTTTGTTCTGTCTCGTTCTCTCCGTACAAGATTTCTGGAGGAATTCCTGAATTCTCTAGTGCAGCACTAACAGCATTAACAATAGCCAGATTCTGCTTCTCTTCTGTGACTTGAGAATGCAGAACATTTTGGTTCTCTGAATAACAAGAACTTAAGTCAGATGACTCCTCCCCTGGTTCAGTTTTAACAGTGGTAAAGTTTCCGTAACCTTCGGCGGTGACTCCGGAATGAGGAAAATCATACTGATTTTGTGTAAAATTAGATGAATCTTTTCCAGTCTCTTTCTTTAAATTTGTGAAGTGTATACTTTCTTCAATGGTTTCAGGAGTGTCATTTTGACTTACTGAATAACCAGCGCTAAAATTATAAGAATCATCGATAGGCTCGTTCTTGATAAAAGGGTTTTGACCCTCTATGGTACTGTCAATATCATTATCTTGTGTTTGTGGAACATCAAATATACTGTCCATGGGCTCACTCTTTATAATGGACTTTTGACCCTCTACAGCATGGTCACTATTGGTAACTTGTGTAGGTGGAATATTATAGGAATAGTCGTCCATCGGTTCACTCTTAATATTGGTAATGATTGGTTCCCTTTCAGGGTCTGGGGTTTGTGGAACATCATCCACACATTCTGAATCATTAACAGATTCCTCCATTTGTTCACTTTTAACAATGGAAATGTCTGGTCCCTCCTCACTAAACTGGGAATCGGTGTTTTCCTCTTGTTGTGATGTGCTTATAGAATCATTTGTTAATGTTGATAATCCTGTTGCTGAAGCAAAGCCCCTCATCACTGAGTCAGGATTTTGCCCAGTTTGAGAGGAACTTGGAACATTGCTATTTGCAAATGGTGAGAAAACATTATTACAAGGAAGTAAACTAGTCTGTAGTGCGTGTTGGCTGGTATAATCAGTGGGAGGAGTGGACAAAAGCTTTATGAGAGATCTGTTATTTCTGACACCTTTTGTTGGAGTGGATGTTACAGCCTTAGGGTGTTGAACAGGAGAGACAATGCTGGTGCTTTTCGCGTCTTTGAATGGATCTGAAGCCATAAGTTTAAAGACTTTGAATTCTTTACCAGGATTTGGGATGTTTGATATTCCTAGTTTCTGAAAAACTAACTTTGCCTCAGAATGACCAGACCCAGCAGCAGTATTTCTACTGGACTTACTCAATCCATGCATTTCCTTTTCATCTCTTGAATCTTCTTTCTCATTAGGCTCTATTAATGGAACCTGAGGAATCTCATTATGAGGTCCACTTTGACTGTGTGAAACCTTTTCAGAACATGATGTTGTAAATATACTGTTTCTGCTCAACCCAGTGATGTCTTTCTGAGTTTTAACCTTCAAAGAATGATCCATCTCTCCTTTGCTTCCGGTCGGTGGATCACCTGCCTCCGTTTCCTCTCCCCATTCTTCCATTTGGTGCTCCTGGTCCTCTGAATCTCTGATTCCACCACCTTACTCACTATACTCTTCTTTGTCACCCCTGCCCTGCCCTCCACACCAGTAACCTGACTCAGAATAACCTCACTCAAACCTTCCACGTCCTGCTTGATGACCCCCCAATGTTCCCTTCCCTGTTTTCTCTTTCTCACTCTTGTTCCAGTGACCCTCTTCTCTCTTGTTGCCGGTGAAGACTTTTGTCTTCTTTTATTCTTATCTTGAAGAACCCCTGCTTCCTGCAGGGCTTGTTCTTGAGATTCAGTAGCGATGTCACCGTTTGAAGCACTTGTTGCCTGATGATCTTGAGAATGGAAAGCACTCTCTAGATCTGTTGCATGTAGACCCCCCTCATTATCAGGGAGGTCAGTCATGTTACCATTATCTGTACATCCTTCCATTTCTTCAGTCTGTGAGCTGTCTGCATCACTATCCATCTCATCTTTCTTTACTTTTTGTAGAAGTCCATCACTATTTTCTTTGGCTGAGGCACTGAAAATGCCTGGGGAGTTTGTGTGCTTCATTGTTTCTAAAGGCAAGTCAATTTCTCCCCCAATGGAAGTGTCTGAACATGCTGAAATAAGAATTGTTGGTTTTCTTTTAAACTGCAAAGAACTGTGACAGTTGTATACCAGTATATAAAATGCTGTATGTATACACAATGTACATATTTTTATAGAATTCAAAAGGCCCTAGGATGTGCTAATTCAAAGTCAGCCTATCTCAAAAGTTGATCTTAAACCATAAAAAATAACATATTTTTAAGGTACCACTTTGAATACTTGTAATTTCTGGGACTAGATAAATATTAAGAATATATAAATGATCAACTGATATGATCTATGATGTTGAAAAATCATAAGAACCTGCACTGTATAAAGTGCTCTAGCAGAATATATACAAGGTTGATTTGCAGTTTAAGGAGCTACTCCTACTCACTGTAATCGTCTATACTGCCAGATGGATATCGACAGGGTCTACAGTCATGAGAGTCAAACTCCTCCTCAGTCCCATACAGGTGTCTACAGGAACAGCACTGGTACAGCCTCCTAGGTGTACAGGTGTGTGACAGGTAATCCAGGTAGGAAGTAAAGGTGTCTGTACACCGAGTACAGAGGTAAGGGTCCAAGACGGTGCCTGTGGCCTCACATTTACACACCCGTATAAACTGCTTGTCTGTCAACAGTACAGGTGAAATACATGTAAGGTGTCCATACACTTGTTACATGCAAAGGGGGAAAACATCATTGTAAATTTTTGTACAGTATATCTAATGCTTGTTTCTTATAGGAATTTTTTCAAGAAACATATACAGTGGGGCCTCATTTATCCGGACGCTTTGGTTCCTAGTCAATTTGTCCAGATATGTGAAGTGTCCGGATATCTGAATTACCAGTTAAACAAGACAAAATAACATTAAAAAATTCTGTTTTGCTGAAAAGTCATCCAGATACTGAAGCATACGGATATCTGGCGTCCGGATATCTGATATATATTTATACTTGTTCAATTGTTTATTTTCTTAAGCACTTCTAAACCTCTTTATTGGACTTATGTCTTTACTTAACATCAGGTACATACACAGATACCAGTTTCCATCAATTTTCCATATTTGTTTCTTTCCCCTGAACAGATCCTGGTCATCCATTGATTACACTCTACTCTCTTAGCTCCCTTCTGTTGTTTGCTCACTCACTGACTTAGTTGTACAGCTGAGTTGTAGGTGTAAAGATGGTTTCTTAGTGTAATTATAATCAGGGAAAAATAACCTTCTCATCATATTCCATGGCCAGCTGTAAAAGGACCCTGAATTAAATTGAATGAATGCAGACAGAATCAGATTTAAAAACACATAAGTTTTAGATCTTTATTGATTGATATATAAAGGTGTGAATTAATAGGAAATAACCCTTTAATGTGTAACAGGAAGAGAGAAAATGTATGGCTGGACTGGGAATCGAACCCATGACCCCTGCATCTCCAGTCAGTAGTCACCAACTGAGCTAAGCTGCCAGGCTGATATCCACGGCCCAAACCATTACAAATGCAACTCTTTATTGAGCAGTAAAACTTATAATTATTGCAGCCCGGAGGACCGGGCTGCTCTATACATATAAGTTTAAGTATTGGTGTATGGGGATTTGGGTGGGAGTAGTTATTTAGAATTAAAGGTATTCTAAACATTGAAAAGATTGTTAATCAGAATGTTCTTTCCATTTATAAATTACGAGATTCATAAATAAATATATATACTTCCATAAAGTAAATCTGTAAAAATATATATGTTTTTCATATTTAATATATAAAATTACTTATCATTTACTATCGAAAAAATGACAGTTCCTTTTTTTTAGAACATAGAATTTTTCTTCTCGGATAAAAACGTATACTTTGCACAGTTCGTATTTCATATTCTAAATTTGAAAATTAACACATTTTTAAATATAGGTGATGCCTGTGTTAAACTTCAATTTATATTTTATGCAGCCAACATTTACTTGAGGAAATGATCAAGTTTATTTAAGTGACATCGTTTTTGATTGATTTTTATCCGAATGCAAGGTTTCAAAATATTCGCGACCATCGTCTCCATCAATTAGTCGCATGCCTTTTCACACATATATCGAAGCGGTTTGATGATCAAGAGTCATTTTCATCGTTTACTTTATATATTTCCCGGGCGACAATTGATGGTTACATCAATGTTTTCTTGTTAATCTTTGTACTAGAGACACTAGACTAGCTGTCCATGCTGTCTATATTATATAGAGCAAATTTTTTTTTTTTTTACAGTTTCTCAAATTTTTGTAAAATAACAATTTAATTTACTAAAAAGAGAAACAATTTGACTAAATCAGAATAGCTTAAATAATAAATATATTGCTTAATCAAGCTATAATTAAAGCTAAATCAAGATATTGTGCTGGACCTTGCCAAGATTAATATCTTAATAGGCCTATTCATTTATTTATTTTAGTAATTCACTGAATTATTCAGCCATGTTTTTTTTTTATCAAAGTAAATTGAATTTAAGGTCTTATTATGAATATTACAACACATATCCGTATGACAGTATGCTGTCAAACACCGCTATATTGGAAAAACACTGAATGTAAACACTGCGCCCTAATTTTACAAGGTCGGAAAAGTAGGTCAGATGTCTACGAAAACATCTAACTGCAGTATGAAGTCAGTTCAACATCGATTCTTGATTTTTATAAATTTCTGGGGTTTAATAGTAACATACCTGTTTATTTTACTTATACCAAGTCGTGTCCTGTGCCCAGTTAGCCCCAAAAATCTTATAAAATTGGCTGTTTTGTGGAGCTTTCCATCTTTAGTAAACACTCAGTTTCCTACCTTCGTGCACTGAAGAGCTCTTTTGAGGAGCGGATCCAATTAAACTCCAAAGATTGCCTATACACGAAAGGTATATCTATTATAGCTGTTTGCACAAAGAATACCTTAGTATTTTAGAACGAAGATTTAAGGTTAAGATCTTTAAATGAAATATGCCTACATATTTATCAAATCTGAGAAATAAATTCTTTTAATGATGCTTTAATTATAACTAGCTTGATCAAATAAAGTGTTTTGGGGCATAATTTGAAAGTAAACAAGATGAAAAATCTTGCAAATTTTTTACTGTCGTTTTCCAACGAAAAATTAAGAAAAGGAGTCGTGAATATGGGAGTATTTCCATATCAGACAAAGTAAATGTACTTTCAACTTTCCGTTTTCCCGTACCTTACGGCTCTAATAGAATTACTAAGTATATGTAGAAAATTATCTTCATGGAATTCAATGTGAAATTACATGAAAAGTAGTCCCTATACCTATACCTATATTTAATTGTCCCCCGCTTTCGCGAAAGCGAGGGGACATTAAATCTCATTCGTCTGTCCGTCTGTCAGTGTCCGTCCGTCACAAAAACTTTAACCTTGCCCATAACTTTTGATTTATTGAAGCCATGACTTTCTTATTTCATATGTGTATTTCTTGTGACAAGACCTTTCTTTGGGTACCACCAAATTTGACCCTTTGACCTTGACCTTGGAGTTTGACCCACTTTAACACAAAAATTCCAAACATTGACCTTGACCTTGGAGATTTTTTGTACTGATCAGTAAACTTTAACCTTGACCATAACTTTTGAATGGTAAGGGCTAGGGATTTCATAATTCACATATGTAATCCTTTATTTGAGAAGACTTTTCATTGGATACCAAACACGTTAACCCTTTGCCATTGACCTTGGAGTTCAGTGATACTTTCTAAATAGATAAATTATGATAGGGCGTTCATATTAGACACAAAATGTCATAAAAAATGACATCTCACCCAAAAAGACACCGAAAGCGGGGGACCACAATTCTTTGAATTTGCTTGTTTAACATTATGTTAAAGAAGAGGCTATGGACATATAAATTACCGTTTTCTGGAAGACTGAAGGCAATCTGGATACATGTAAATTCCTTTTTCGAATATGGGAAAAAAAACACTTCCATATTCATGACCGGTTCTCTTTTTTTTTCATTGGAAATGACAGTTTAAAATATAATTTTTATCTTATTTACTGACAAATTATACCCCGAAATACCTTATTTGATCTAGCTAAAGTTATAAAGCATCATTAAGGAATGATATATAATTTCTTAAATTCGATATATCTGTGTAGGGACCTTTCATTTACTATAGATCTTGACCTTAAACATGAATGAAAAACTTTTTTTGAACTTAAGCAAAATAATTATATATATATCATAAAGGTTTAAATTTTAATATTAAGTTTACCTAGCCTAAGGTATTGTTCACTTTCAACACCAGGTAGACAGACAACAAGTAGTTTAATTCGGAGCACCTGGCATAGCAAAAACGATTTACTCACAAATTAGCTGCAGACCTGTAGCGTTATGGTTTTATATACTTGTCTTTGTCTTTGATCCAGTAATGCAAAAAAGGTGCAATTTACGGCGCAATATTTCTCCACTTTCCATCACCGGTCAATAAATACCTTTCACTCCCTAATTCTAGAAACATTATTTAACTATTCTATATATTTTATCCATCTACTTACTCTTTATAGTCGTCTCTACAAGTGATAAACTCACTTGACTAAAATTATATGTTAGATTACTAAAAATTCACTTTAAGCGAGTTTATTGTCTATAGAGACAACTATAAATAGTTGGGAGGTAGATAAAACATAAATATTGGCTACAGAATGTGTCTAGAATTAGGGAGTGAAAGGTAGATGATTAACCAATGCTAGAAAATGGAGAAATTCTCCCCCAAAGCGCAAAAAATATTGCGCAGTAAATTGCACATTTTTTGCATTACGGGATCTGTAGCGTTATGGTCAAAGACAAGTATATAAAACCATAACGCTACAGATCTGCAGCTACTCACAAATAAGTTGATGCTACAGAGATTTCAATAATTCTCCTTTATAAAGTCTATGTCAATTCTATTGGCGTTATTGAAATTTTTAGCAAACACGACTGTTCGCAAAATTATAGTGTTTGTAGTTTGTATATATGAGATGTTTGTAGTTTGTATATATGAGATGTTTGTAGTTTGTATATATGAGATGTTTGTAGTTTGTATATATGAGATGTTTGTAGTTTGTATATATGAGATGTTTGTAGTTTGTATATATGAGATGTTTGTAGTTTGTATATATGAGATGTATTTATTTCTTTACGTTTTTACTTCGGTATTCTCCGTGAAACTTCGTATCTTAAGAAACTGGTTTTTCATGCACGAGCGATTTAGCGCTCACTATAAATACTTTAATCAGGGAATGTTCGATTAATGCGACGTTCGTTACAAAGAATCGCAGGTTGTTTTGTGTCTTTGGTATGTTTAGATTACAGAGTTTTATTTTCAAGTTCAACTTCTAAAACAGATGTTCCTTAAAAACAACGTACAGAGACAAGCTTCAATTCTGGACAGGATTTTGATGTCATTGACGCTGTCAGTTTATTAAACAGCAGTTTCGGCGCAACGAGGAGAGATTGCGAGGTTCAGAATGAAGTTGAGTATAATAGTCATTTATTAGACTATAAATCTGACTTTGACAGTGTTTGCTGAAAATTCAATTGTTTCA